CGGCCATTGTTGATGTCGAGAAGTGCTTCGACCGTATTTGTTGGCGGAGGCTTATCTCGGCGGCGGCCAAGCACGGATTTCCGCGTCAGCTGCTTTCTTGTGCGCTGAGCATGTATCGTGCGCCTCGCAGACTCGTGTGGCAGCAGGCTACGTCATATGCGGTTACGGTGTCTCAGGGCGTTCTTCCAGGGTGCAAGTTTGCGATGGCTTTTGTGCAGCTACTGATGCTCGCGTCAATGGATGATTTCGTCAGCACGGTCGGTCTCGGCATTCCTGCTCAGATGGGTTTTTCTTTTTCGTTGGACATCTTCGCTGACGACTTAACCCTGCAGGTGGTGGCCAGACGGACGGATGTGTGCAGGATCGCCACCGATGCGGTGGCTTTGCTCTGTGACACCCTGCAGGATCTCGGCCTCCCCGTGGCGAAGTCAAAGGCTTTCCTCACCGCGTCTGACGACTCCGTAGCCCCCGCTGTGGCTCGTCTTCTGCGGAGATACGGTTTTCAGGCCAGGTCCTGGTTGCAGGTCTTGGGCCTTGAGGTGGCCGCTGGCAAGAGTGTTCGTGCTCGAGTGCTTCGGGGTCGTGTCGGGTGCGTATTGAAGCGGGCAAGGCACTTCAAGAGGCTGAGCCACCCTGGAGCGAAGCTCAGACAGGTTCCCAAAGCAGCAGTCGGCCCTGCTATTACCTACGGCTTGGGCATTTTGGGCGCTGGGCCGCACCTGATCAAGCGTATGACTTCTCTGGCGAAGCTGGGCTGGCATGCCATTCCCTCGGGGGCGTCGCACTGGATTGCATCGAGATTGGAAGGGGGCTTTGAGTCTCAACCAGCGACGTTGGCCATTGTTGGACCTGTTTTCAACTGGGCTTTGTTGATTCAGTCGGGGGATGTTGACCATTTTACGCTGCAGACGGCTTGGCGCTCTCAATACTGGAAGGTGGCCTCGGTTGACTGGCAGGAGAGCTGGAAGCTAGTGGCTGGCCCAGCTGGTGCTTTTGCGCGGTCTGTGACTTTCTTGGGCTGGACAGTCTCCTCAGCGTTTCGAGTCCGTACTCGTGCTGGTATTACTATGGACTTACGTGAGGTGGCCCCGTCAGGGGTCAAGTGGCTAGCGCTCAAGGACTATGAGATCGTAGGCTGGTACCAATGGGCTGCCAGGCCTGAGGTGATGCCTGAACTTGATGGCCCGTCTCACAAGGACCCCGCTGGTGCATGGTTGAGTCCCATACGTGCGTTGCTTTGCCCTGGTCCCAAGGCCAAGCGTTGGGTATTGGATCCGCTGGCTCGGGCTGCGTTACGTACTGCGGTCGTGGGTGGCCACTTCACGAAGAAGCGCTTGCACCGGCACGCTTACGCTCACTGCCCTGAATGCAGGAACTGTCCTGGTGTCGATGGTACCGCCCACCACAGGCATTGGCAATGCCACGTGTTTGACGACATTCGGGAGTATGCGGTGTCGGAGGCCACCCTGGACGCGGCAAGGAGGGCACCACCTGGTGACTTGCTCTACTCGCGTGGGCTTTACCCCAACTCCTTTCTTCCTGCCTTGCCGCCCAGGAACGACTCCGGTGTTTGGTGTTATGATCGTGGAGCTCGGGCCCATGGACATTTTGTCGTCACGGGCTCGGTGTTCACTGACGGGTCGTGCAGGAAGTTGCTCCACTGGGACGCTGCTGACCGCGCGGGCTGGGGCTTCGTGGTTGTTGGGGATGCTTGTTACTACGGAGCGGTCTTTGGGCCGCTGCCTGGCCATCGCCAGACATCCGCTCCATATCTTCACGGACTACGTGCCTTTGCTTGAGGGGCTGGCGCGTGGCAAGCGCTGGTGCCTAAATCCGAGGCGTGAGAATGTGGATCTTTGGCGTCGCCTATTTCACCAGTTGGAGGATCATGGTGTTTTTTTCCATTTCTGGAGACCTGGAGAGTCCGATTCGGTTCTCGTACGTCAAGGGCCACTCCAGGGAAGACTCATGGCATCGCCGCTGCGACGATCTGGCAGATCAAGCGGCCAAGAGGGGTCGGCAGCTGCACGACCTTCCCCAGGCCATTGTCAAGAGCTACACCGACTCGCTCTGTACGCTCAGATCGGTCGCGACCTGGATTGCAAACTCGTCCAGGATGATTTTCGAAGGCACCGTGGCACCCGACCGCGTGGACGTCCCACGGAGGCGGGACAAGGAGCTGCGCGGCCGCTGGGCGCAGCTGACCGCGGCTGGCGCTGCAGGCAGCGGCGCTGGGCGCGGGCGCCGCGGTGCGGGTTCACCCGCAGGCGGGCAGGCCTGCCCCCCTCAGCTCCTGCATCGAGTGAGGTTGAGGGGTAAGAAGTACAGTTGCGATCGTTGCTCCGCTTACGCGGTAACGCCGAAAGGTGCTGCGAGGCTTAGGAAGGGCCTTTGTAGGGTCGCGGAGGCGGCGGCCCTCTGGGGCCTCGAGGGTGTTTCGCCTGAGCCTTCCTCGACTGCGGCCCTTGCTGGGCCGAAGGGCCCTGGCGGGCCGAGCGGGAGCGTCTCGGGCCCCTCTGAGGCTTGCCCTTCCTTGGAGCTTCGAAGCGTCGAAGCCTCAAGTGGACCAGAGAGGTCGCCGCCCATCGCGACCGAGGGTCTTGAGCGGTCCCTGGCCTTTAAGCGGGTGAGGTTTCAGGTGGATGGTGGGGGTGAGGATCAGTTGGATGCTGAGCTGGGGGAGGCGTGTCGGCGCGCCAAAGAGGCACGCTCCCTGGCCCCGCATGAGCCCCCCCCCCCTCCGCCACCCCCCCCCCCCGCTCCTGCCAGGACGGTGAGGGACCGCAGGGCGGGTGGGCCCCTGGAGGGGCCGTGTCCGAAGGCGCCTCGGACGGGGGCGTCGCCCTCCGTGTCTGGCGTTGTCGGGCCTGCGGGCTCTGGCGTGCTTGCGGGGCCCCCGCCCTGCAAGCGCCCTCGGACCTCTGGAGGTCCTGGTGCGCCTTCCTGGGTTGCGCGTGATGCCACCCGCCCTGAGGTCCCTCTCCCCGCTCATGGCCCTGTGGGGCCCTGTAGTGCTAGAGGACATCATATTAGTCTTGCTGGCGAGACCCTTGCATTCTGCCACCGCTGCGGCGCCAGGGCCCAGCCGTCGGCCCCTCGTTCCCGTTTGTGGGGCCAGTGTGAGGGTTTTGCATCCAGCAAGGACGCCACTTATTTAAAGCGCCTTGAGGCGGGTAAAGATCCCCTTTCGGGCGAGTGGCGGGGCGAGCCCCGCCCCCTCTTCCCCACAGACGATGCCTGCTTTTGGCTTCGTCTGCGGTAGCCTGAGGCTGCGCCTCGGGCTGTCCTCCTTTCTAATCGTCGGGTTGCGCGCCCTCGGCCTTTGTCTTTCTCTTTTTCCCCTCTTTTCTGTCGCTCTGCGCACTCGTTCGGTCTGGTCGTGCCTCCTCCTCCTCCTCCTCCTCCCCCTCCTCCCCCTCCTCCTCCTCCTCCTCCTGCTCCTCCTCCTCCTCCTCCTCCTCCTCCTCCTCCTCCTCCTCCTCCTCTGCCTCCTCCTCCCCCCCCTCCTCCCCAATCTCCTTTTCATCCTCCTCCTTCTCCTCCTCCTCCTCCTCCTCCTCCTCCTCCTCCTCCTCCTCCTCCTCCTCCTCCTCCCCCTCTATTCCTTCTCCTTCTAAGAAATTCTCCCTGTCGCAGCCCGTGGCCAGTTTTTTGGGCAGGCCGGGCGTTTCGCTTGAGATTTCCTCACCATTTATGACCTTGAAGCTCAAGACTTGACAACAGCTGCACCGGTGGGGGGCGGGTGGTTTGCAAAATGTGGCTGTCACCTTAGCGCCGCGCACATTCGTCTTCGAAATTTGCAAGAGCTTCACAGAGTGAGGCGGGTGGTTTTCAACATGTGGTTTTCGCTTTAGCGCCGCGCACATTCATTTTCAACGTTTGCAAGAGCTTCGCGAATTGAGGGCGGCTCCTTTTCAAAATGCGGCTCTCGCCTAATCGCCGCGCGCATGTTTGCTTTAGGAAGTAAGACGCGTTTCGCGGATGTTCATGATCTGCGTACCAAAAAATGGCGTTTTGGAAGGACTCGCGATTATGAGGGCGCAGCAGTCATGCTGATTCGCGATTTTGAAGTCCCAGGGATGGCGTTCTGGCGCGATTCAAGATCGTCAACACGCATCAGTCAGGTTTATCCGTGGTGTTGGAATACCGAACAAATTACTAGCATGCTTCAGGGTCTTCAATCGCTTGTCTTCCAACAATGCAGGTCCCTCTGTGGAAATGAACCGTTGCAGGGGCCTATGAGCAGGGAGCCTGGGAGGAGAGTTTATTCCAACACCGTTGGCGAGTCTTGGGTTTACCGGTCCTCCTCTTCCTCCTCCTCCTCCTCCTCCTCCTTTTCCTCCTCCTCCTCCTCTTCCTCTTTGCTCCTCCTTTTCCTCCTCCTTCTCCTCCTCCCTGCTCCTCCTTCTCCTCCTCCTCCTGCTCCTCCTCCTCTTCCTGCTCCTCCTCCTCCTCCTCCTTTTCCTGCTCCTCCTCCTTGTCCTCCTCGTCCTCCTCTTCCTCCTGGTCCTCCTTCTCCTCCTCCTCCCTCCTCCTCCTCCTCCTCCTCCTCTCCTCCTTCTCCTCCTCCCTCCTCCTCCTCCTTTTCCTCCTCCTCCTCCTCCCTTTCCTCCTCCTTCCCCTCCTCCATCTCCCTCTCCCCCTCCCTCTCCCCCTCCTCCCTTCCTCCCTCCCTCCCTTCCTCACTCGCCCCCCCCCCCCTCCCTTCTCCATCCTCCCTCCTCCATCATCCCCCCCTCCCTCCTCCCCTCCCATATCCGTTTCCCGCCATGGACCTTTGATGACCTCCGAAAAGAAAGGCCTCCAGAGACTTCCGCAGCCTTCCCGACCTTTGACTCGCGCTTAGAGTGCAGTCGCTCCAGATGTTCCCGGGGATCTCTGGACCTGCCTCCATGCGCCTGGCTTCGCCGCGATGTCTGGGGATTCGCCAGCAGCTGCCTTGATCTGCCCGGCGTCCTTCCCTGCACGCCGCTGGGGGGGAAAGCCGGTCGGCCCTCACGGAACAGCGGCCCCCCTCCGTGCCCCCCCCCGGGTTCGCCACCCATGGCGTCGCTCTGGAACGCGATCCGCTCGGAGGCGGGGCCCCGTCCCGCGCCTGCCGGGAGAGCACAAGGGGGGGGGGTGCGAGGAGGAGGAGGAGGAGGAGGAGGAGGAGGAGGAGGAGGAGGAGAAGGAGCACGGGGGGGGGTGCGAGGAGGAGGAGGAGGAGGAGGAGGAGGAGGAGGAGGAGAACAAGACCCATGCTCCTCAGGACGTGCGTTAGCCCAAGGGTTTTCAAGCGGGTCTGCCCTTCTACAGGAGGACCATACAAGAGTGGCAACAATGTGACTCTGGTGACGATTGTTCGTGCTCTGTTGATGGTGTCTGAACATGTGTTGGCTGTGTCTTATCTGTCTTCCCAGGTGCGCCTGTATGGAGGACATGCCCGAACTGACCCAAGGTGTGCTCTCCCTCGCTCGGCCCTGCCGGTATATAGCACGCAGCCCGCGCCGGCCCTCCTTTGCGCCACCCCCCCGCGCCGTGTGGAAGGCCTTCTGCGGGCCAGCACACGTCGGCGCTCGCGCACGCTCCGAGGGTCATCGAGGAGAGCCCAGCGCGGGCTCGCTTCGATTCCTCCGGTGCGATTCGATTCGATTTCGATGACATCCGATCCCGAGTCGCTTCGACTTCCGATTCCGATTTGGGATCCGATGTCTCGGTGGAGGCGTACCAGGCTGCCGATGTTTGTCGGTTCGATTTTTCCCGACACGGCTGCCGATTTTCACCGATCCGACTCATCTCGATCGCCGATCCGACTTGTCGATTCGATTCTGGGCTCGCCTGCCAGATGCGTGACTCTGCATCCGCCGTACTCCTGGGGAATGTCCTATTTTTCAAGCTCCTTTGATGCCGATGTCTGCCCTGCTTCGCCGTCGTTGGTTCCGCCCCACCTTTGCGGACCTGGCCGCACTATTCTTCTGAGGCGTGAATCGCCGCTGTACGTTTTCGCATTGTGTGAGGGCCATTTCCGACAGACTCGCAAGTCGAAAAATCAACCACCAGAGTACGGCGGGTGGCGGAGTCTGACATCTCCGACGGTATGGTTCTTGTTCAATCCGGGCGCTTCTCCTCGATTGAGGCCTCTGAGGTCTAAATATCGTGCCCGCGGACCAACCAAAATGAGCGTGGGACGAAAATCCACCCCTGGGGAAGGGTTCGGAAGCGCTGGGCCGCAAGTGGGAAACAGTCGTGTCCGAGGATTTCTGGGGAGGAGGAGGAGGAGGAGGAGGAGGAGGAGGAGGAGGAGGGGAAGGAGGGGGAGGAGGGGGAGGAGGAGGGGAAGGAGGGAGGAGAAGGGGGAGGAGGAGGAAAAGGGGGAGGAGGAGGAGGAGGAGGAGGAGGACGAGGAGGAGGAAAAGGAGAAGGAGCAGGGAGGAGGAGGAGGAGCAGGAGGAGAAGGAGGACAGTATTGTTCCTCCTGGTTCAGGCCCCGGCGGGGGGCCCCGCGCCTTCGTGAGAAAACGAGGGCGTCAGCTTCAGCGTCGCCGTCGCGATCGACGTCGTAGCACCCGTCGTTGACATGATCGGCACCGCTGCCGCCAGTGGAAGAAGACGAGGGGGAGGAGGAGGAGCAGGAGGAGGAGTGGGGTCGTGATCTGTCGTCTTCTCCCTTCTCCTCCCCTCCTGTTTGTCTGTCCTTGTCGAGGTCATTTGCGTGCACCTCTGCACGTCGAAACACGTCACAGCAGGTGGCCTTTGGAGCGGTGCTCCGAGGGCCACCAGGCTTTAGTTTGGTCATCCCCCCAGGGACGACCGTCCCTGGGGGAGGGGGGGCGGGCGGCAGTGGGAGACTTCAACGCCATCAGCAATCAGGAGTCAGGAGGAGCTGAAGAGGATGAAGTTCAGAACTCTATGGCAATCGCCATTGGAGGAGGAGGAGGAGGAGGAGGAGGAGGAGGAGGAGGAGGAGGAGGAGGACATCCCAGAGGAGAGGCACATCTTGAGAGGGAGCCGCGCTTTATCGGCGCAACCCCGTGCAGCGTCAGGATTGATTGACATCCAACGGCGCCTCATAAGGAGGCCACATGTGAACAGCCAACTGCCCTCCAGTCGTGAATTAGTGGATAAAGCCAAATGTGCGCGGTGGTACGGCGGCACCTGCCATTCATGTGTGCAATTGCTGTAGAGTTTCAATGCGAATGTGTGCCGCGAAAATGCGAGGGCCACTCTCCTGGCACATGCGTAGTTGTCAGAGCCTCCTAGCTTTTGGATGATGGGTTTGAGCACATTTCGTGTGAGAGCGGAGTTATTGTAGGTCATCCGCTCTCCATCCGTAGAGCGGTCGGGGACAGTCGTGTCCCATGTGCGCGACGTTAGGGCGAGAGCACCATGTTGCAAACGAGCCGCCCTCCGCGTAGCTGCTGGAGAAGTGAAGGCGAATGCGTGCGGCGCAGAGGCAAGAGCCACACATGGTGAACACGAGCCGCCCTCCGCCAGGGTAAATGCTGAATGTGTTCCTCAAGCGTTAGAATGTTTATTTGGGGCGTTCCAAAGGGCCTTGCCTCCGAGGATCGGAGGAGTTACCATCTCTTCCGCGGCGAAAGGTCGGCGGTAAACCGAGGCCGCCTCCGCTGGCGGAAGCCGGCGCAAGCTCGGTTTATACCAGCGCCGTCCACATGGTAGTTTAGATCCCCGCACGAAACTTCTTGCGCCGATTGCTCATTGGGGGTAGTGGGTTACTAGACGGAAGCTCGGCAGAAAGCGGCGGAAGCAAAACATGTGTCCCCAAGGGAACAGAACATTTTTAGGTTCAGGGTTTCCGAAATCGCCAATTTGAAGGGAATGCCCTTTTGGCGGTGCAGCGCAACGAAGAGATGTTATTATTGACGCGTCGCGTACAGTTAAGGCTAATCAGGAGGCAGCAGAGCGTCAGAAGCTCTTTCTCACGTGGGAGGATATGGTACCTCTAGAACACACATCGGCGCTGCAGTACAACAGAGTGGGTGCACCGTCATTGAAGTTCCAGGTATGGTCACATCTACGTTCAAGTTTCCGTGGAAGGCTATACTATCAGGTAAGATGGTTCTCCGTGGACATCGCTTCGCAGTTCGCAGGCCTGCGTGTGGACTACGGCGGCAGGCGCACCCCTTAAGGAGAGAAGTAGCCAACATAGATCGGCCTGGTAATACGGAGGTGTGGTCCCCACCCTCCCCGCTCCCTCGTGGACAGCCGTCAGCTTGCCCCCCGCCTGCCTCTCCGTGTCTTCCTCCTGTCAGTTTGGGGTGTCTGCCCCCTTCACAAATTACTGCGGCTGTTAGTTGCACTCTACCAGAGCACACGGCATTCTCTGACGTTCCCACGGTTCCCCCACTTCGTTCTCGGCATAGAGCGGGATCTGGATACCCCCCCGCTGCCGCTCCCAGGCCATTCACCAATTTGCTTCAGTGGGCTGCAGGTCGCAGGCGATGGCACCCCCCTTCCGCACAGAGACTGCACGCCTGGCGTGCCCGTGCTGGTCCCCATCGCGCTGTTGGTTTCAGGCGGCACACCCCCCCCGCCCCGTGTCGCATACGAGGCGAGCACAGGCGACCATCCTTGGTACGCCACCGTCGCCACTGGGGTACTGCAGGTCTCAGGCTGCGTAACCCCCCGCTCGGAAGCTGCCTGCCCAGCGGGCCCGGGCTGGGCACCCTGCCCTGCTGGCCCTGTCACCTCGTCGCCACCTGTGTGTGCCCCATCTCCCCCCCGCTGTGGCTCGTGGGTGGCGTCGGCCATGCGGATGGACGACACGGCCCTGGAGATGGCCTGTTGGATGTGACGGCGTGTACTACGCTTACGCTCTTCTCGCGCCAGTGGCCACTCTGTGATACCCCAGCTGTGTGTTTGGCCTGGGCACGACGCTCTACTACAATGTCTGGCTCCTCGGCAAGGGGCTCTCGTCTTCTTCTTGGCCTGAGCCTGAGCTGCGGCGCGTTTTTCTCTCTCTCTCTCTCTCTATTTCTCTCTGTCGTGTTTAGGTTCTTCTCGTTTCTTGTTCGTTTTGTCTTCTTGCTCCCCTCGTGTGTTCTTCTCCGCCGCTTCCGTCGCCTCGTTTTCGCTACCGTTGTGGCCCCCTTTTTTTCCGCGTGCTGCCTACGCTTGGCCTGCACTCTCACGGCGTCTTAGAAGGCGCTCAGCTGCCTGCGTCGCTCGCGACCAAAAAGAACAGCGGAGGCCCATGCCAAGAAACACCCTGCTTGCCTCCAGGGTGCCCTGGGTTTCTTGGGTTTCGATTGTTTTGCGGAGGAATTCGTGACGTTCCCACGCCGGAAAAAAAGATGGACGTCCTGGGGTCTCATGTTTGGGTTGTTTTTGAAGGTTTCTTGTGGTCGAGCCCCTCCTGCACCCCCGCTCAGCGCATGCGGCGCGAAAGATATCGCGGAGGCGCCGCGTCAGCTTGCAGCGGCGACCGCTACAATAGCCCGGGTTGCGCGTGATCTTCCCATGCCCACCCTCTTTTCACAGGCCCCCGCCACGCTGTCGGGCCATCCGTTCCGTTATTTTCCGTTGCGGTTCGGTGTTGCGCGTTTCCAAACGTTTGGCGCACGTCCCAGTCGGGGGCCGCCCCGACCCTAGATGCCTTATTCCAGCGCCAACCCGCAGTGGGCATTGTATGCCATGTTCCGCCTTCATGCCGAAAGATACAGACCAGTCCCCCATCGCACGGATCGCATTGATCTAGTTGCGCGTGTCATCCCGATGTGGGACTATCCCCGACCTTGCATGTCACTCTTCGGCGCCGGCCCGCATTGGGGCCGCGCCCATTGCTTCTAGTTGTCTACCTTCGTGCTGAAAGGTACCGACTAGTCCCGCCCACGTGAACGGCGGGCGCGCGCTGATCCTGTTTCACTGTTTCGCGCATCGTACCGATGTGGGACCACCCAGATCGTACATGGCATTCTTCGACGCAAACCCGCATAGGGGCCGCAGCCACTGCACTTCGTTGCTCGCCGTCGTGCTGGAAGATGCCGACCAGTCCCGTCCATGTGAACGGCTTGCATGGGTTTCATTGAACGCGTCATCTCGATGTGGGACCGCCGAAACCTTACATGGCACTCTTCGACACCAGCCCGCATTGGGGTCACGCCTCCTGCATTTCGGTATCTACCTGCATGCCGAAAGATATTGTTCAGCCCCGAAGACGCGCACGCGCACAGCATCCCGGATCCGATGGGGATCGCCCCCGCCTTACATGTCACTCGGCGGCGCCAGCTCGCATTGGGGCCAGGCAAATTGTATGTCGTTGTACTCTTTGATTCTGAACAGAAGCCCGCCAGTTCCGTTTCCGAGCTCAGCTTCTGGAGTTCGGTGCTCGGGAGGCCGACGAGTCGAATCCACGGGCCGACGAGTCGGCGCTGCGTTGACAAAGCCGTCCCCTCGTGTGAGAGGTTTGGAGACCTGCGCGACAGCGTTTTGGATCTTGTCCTATGGAAGCTCGACAACCCGATGTATAAATTAGCCGACGAAGACGCGGCGCGCGCATTGAAGCCACAAGCCCCATTGGATGGGTGCCGACTTGACTCTGTGATGCGTTCGATGCTCGCACCCGTTCACCATGGCGAGTGAAACCCGAGATTTCGTTCCCGAACCACACCAACGAACCCGGTACACGATTGACAACAGCCACACCAGTTTGACCAAATGCCGCCGTGTGGCGCTCATTCCTCCCCGTGCTTCCCCAAGGCCGCAACGCAGCGCCCCGGCTTGCCAAACACATGTGGCCATGTCGAAAAGATTGCGTGGCAAGTGCCCCCGGCAGACGCGCCCGATGAGAGGTGGGAAGGATAAGCAAAGAAGAAATATCCAAACAGGAAGAGGAGGGGGAAGAGCCAGAAGGGAAGAAGGAGGAATGGCGACGGAATTGGAGGAAACGGTAGGTTAGAGAGCATTTGTAGGACGGGGAGAGAAGTGGCCACATGGTAGGAAGGATGCCCACGTACAGACAGAATTGCGTTCTAGATATGGGGGGGGAGAGAGAGAGAGAGAGAAGCAGAGAGAAAGAGAAAGAGTAACAGAGAGAGAGAGAGTGAATGCAAGAACGACAGGAAGAGAGCAAGAGCGAGAGAGACGTACATAGAAAGAGGCAGAGAGAGAGAGGAGAGCGCGCAGCAGAACAAGTATAGTATATACCTCTATGTGTATATATACAGATTCATCGAAACATATCCGGAGGGATAGAGAGAGTAGTAAGAATAATGGAAGTCAGAATGTGTTTTAGTCATATATACATGTATGGGCACAAAGAGAGTTCGAGGATGGGAGCAATCGACCAAGACACGTGTGGTGTCCATATGTGCACCTATGTAAGTGTACATATGTTCTTTTCGCATGCAGAGAGAGAGTGTGAGAAAGAGAGAGAGAGAGCAACCAAAAAACAAGCACACATAGAGACAGACAGACAGAAAGAGAGAGACACACACAGAGTATTACTTTGCTTTTGAGGCGCGCGCGCGCACAATCGGGAGAACGCTAACCGTGAGCCCCAAAATGACGTCAACGACCGGCAGACGTCGGACTGACGACCAGTTTTCACCTTCTCGTTCGGAGGAGCATGAGGAGCCGGAGGACCGGACAACCTCTGCCTCTTTGGAGCCACGGGGGAAGGGGCTCGTCGCATCACGGCTGCATCAGTTTCAGAATCCTGGTCAGAACGCGCCCAAGGAGAGATTCGGAGTTCGCATACCCATACATACGATGATTGTGTGAATACGAGGTCCCTGGAAGTTCCGACCCTTTCACCAGGGCTGGTTTTTCAACCGTAGTCGTTGTTCGATTGTCCTCCGGCCCGGCAAGAGCCCCCAGAGGCAGAAAGCCGCCAAAAGCAGTCCGTCGCATTTTTGCACCACGCGAGCATGTCTAGGTATGAGGGCGGAGCAGTATGCAGTGCAGCAGCAGGATGGCGAGGGAGGAGCGCCCCATCCACCGTGCCGTGCTGCCGTCCACTTCGCCCGCCAGGTCCAGGCCTCGGTCGATGAGTTCCGCGAGAAGGGTGTAGTTGGTGCGCCGCGCCTTTTCGTGAGCCGGTCCGGAGATGAGCGCACAGTCTAACGTGGTACCGCGAAGGAAAACAGCAGAAACATCAATTTCCGGAGTGCCGCGCGAATGTCCTCAGACCTGGGCTGGGACACCTTGGTGGCGCTTCCTGCGCCGCCCCTGACGCGCTCCGCGCGTCAGGGAGGGAGCTCAGGGCAGATCCGAGAATTCCGCGCGGACAACCAGAAGTTTCCGTTGGTTCCGGTGTGAGCGTGCAGTCAGACGTGAAAATGTCAAATTATGGTTTCGGAAGTGCTTCGGAGTTTCGTACATCTTTCCTTGGAGTCTCCTCGGGTGCCTTTTGCAAATTTAGGCACAGATCGGGTCAACATGGAGCTGCGTTTCGTGTCTATGGCAAGCGTCTTGATGGCGAGAAGCTCGTTGGTTGTTAATTTGGGGTCTTCCCCCCGCAAGCTCTCCAAGCGGGCCCATATTTCCGCCTCACCGCCCCCACCAGACTCTTATCTTCCTTTTGTTCCCTCTCTCTCTTTCTCGCTCTCTGTCTCGTTTTGTCTCTCTCTCTCTCTCGATCTGTCTCTCTCTCTCTCTCTCTCTCTCCCTCTTTTGTTTGTGCCCGCCTCATGTAGCTCACTGTCTCCAGCAGCCCCCTTATCTTCCGTTTGCTCTCTCTCTCTCTCTCTCCTCCTTCTCTCTGGCTCTCCATCTCTCCCTCTCTCCCTCTCTCTCTCTCTCTCTTCCTCTCTCTCTCTCTCTCTGCCTCTGCCCCTCCCTCTCCCCCTCTCCCCCTCTTCGCGTGCCGACGCGGCCTGCTCGGCACCCCGCGCACCCCCTCCTGGCACGGGCGGGCCGCGGCGCCTGCTGCGGCCCCGACCGCCTCCACAACTCCTCGGCGAGGGTCCGCGGACGGGCCCCCTGCCGGCGCAGCGCGCCGAGGCTCGGGCCCGCCTCCACCGGACCGCCACGGCGGAGCGCCCGGTGCCACATGCTCATCCGACGGCCTCAAGTCGGGCCTGTCCCTCCACAGGAGGCATATTCGGGCATAGCCAGAATATGATAATTATGGAGACGATGTTCGACTATTTTGGGATTACGTTAGGTGTATGTTTTGACTGTTTCTCATGTTTCGTCGAAAATCCGTCTGTAGGAGGACATGCCCGACCGCCACGGCTGAGCGCCTGGTGCACATGTTCATCTACGGCAAGGCGGTGGTCGATGGCTTCGAAGCCCTCCTCGCCTTGTAAAAGGAAAAACGCCATAAGCATGAATGTTTGGCGCTCCGCGCGGATTTCTTGGATCCGCGCTGGGCCTCTCCCGCCGCCTCCGGCGCCGCACTTTGCGCGCTCCGCGCGCCAGGGAGCGGGGTCCAGCGCAGATCCAAGAAATCCGTGCGGAGCGCCAAAAATTTGAGCGTATGGCGTTTTTTGTTTGTTTTCTGTCGCTGGCCACCCTCCTCCAGCGGCGGGCTTCCAGGCTGACCTCTGGCGGAGTTTCCACCTCGTGGTGCAGGCCAAGCCAGACCACCTTCGGGGCCGACATGGTCGACGCCCACCTCGGCGATCAAGGGATCAACGACGGCCTCGTCACGCCCATTAGCCGAGGCCTTCGACCGGCACGCCGATGAGTTGGCCACAGCAGGCGCCGCCCTCCACCAGCTGCCGCAGGATGTTGTTGAAGCCCGCGGAAGGGCGCCATAAGTTCGCGGCTGCGCGGTTGTGGCCATCTCTGATCGCCATCACCGCACCCTGCCCGCCGTCGTCGTCGTCGCTAACGCCGAAAGCACGGATTTCTCTCGCCAGATATCGCTCAAAAAGCTTACGATGATCCTCCTCCTCCTCCTCCTCCTCCTCCTCCTGCTCCCCCTTCTATCTCTCCTCCTCCAGCTCCTTGTCCCAGCCTCCCGCGGAAAGTTCACGAGAGTCTCCCTGAACGTCGGGCTGGGTACACGAGGAGCGAACTTCACCGCATGGAGCCACACCCGCTCATCCCTGGTGCGGCCACCGCTGGGCCACCAGGCCCACCGGGGGCCGGCGCCCTGGGACCCCGTTAGGCCCACCAGGGCTTGGCGTTTTCGACGACCTCGGCGACTTCTGGGGTAACCTCCCAAGGGACCTCGACGGTGACGATGAAGATCCGCTCGGGCCTGGTGGAACTCTAGAGGACGACGACGACGACGACGACGACGACGACGACGACGACGACGACGACGACGAGGCTACGTCTGCCCCGATGGTCTTCGCACGGACCACCTGGGCCATCCGGCCAGGACGACCCCACTCTTGGCGACGTCGACACTACTGTCACGTATGACGGAGACGCGCAAGAACCATTCGGCTTCGGTGGCTCCCGCCATGACTGCGAGCCCGATGAAAATCAGGTCTGGCCCCCAAGCCCCCCAGCGCCCCGGCCCGCCGTCCACGGGACTAGTGGAACCATGGTGGCACCTGGATCAGCTCCCAAGTCGCAGTGCTGGCCAGCTCTATTGAACACCAAGCACCCCTTCTCCGTGCTTCCTGTCTGGACGCCCGAAATGGGTACGGAAACAATGGGTACAATGCCCAACAGCAGTTCCTGTTCATCTTGAACAGGACTCGCTGTCCACGCCTCCGCGGCCTGTCTCCACTTGACAGAAGGCCGTCTGCCCAACAGCGGCCACCGTTGGTTTGGGACAACATGTGTTGTTGGGCATTGCGCCCATCTTTTCCATACCCACTTCGGGCGTCCAAATCCTGCCACCAGGTTCACACCCGTCCCCACCGGGGGACTCTGGCGGTCTCCCCCGCCACACCCGGGAAACGGGGACCCCCCCCGCGACAGCCGGCTGCCCCCGGACCGGCGCAGCGCTCCTGCCCTTCTGCCTTGCGGCGGACCGCCACCAGGACCGCCCGTGAGCATCGGATCTCCGTGCCAGCCTCGCCGCGCTCCAGGAGCGCGCCGCGCGCCTCGTGCGACCCGCCGCGTCGCGCCCAGCACGGGCCGAGGCCCCTCCTCGCAAGGCTCCACCTGGAGCGCCACCCATGGATCCCATGGATCCCCCTCCACGCTGGAGTCTCCCCTTCGCCCCTCTTCCCTCCTCCTCTTTCTCCTCCTCCTCCTCCTCCTCCTCCCCCTCCTCCTCCCCTTTCCCCTCGGAGTCTCTCCGCCGCCTCTCCCCCCCACGGAGGATCCCCCTCCACGAGGGCCCTCCGGGCGCGATGCGACGCCCACTCTGCCGGCGCAGCAGCCGCTGGCCTTCCTGTTCCAGAACGCAATCCCCCGACTGGAGCGCAGCCCTTGGCGCCGCGGAGGGAGCTCCAAGGCCTTCCCAGGCGCCGCCCGGGCGCGGCCGACAGCTGCCAGGAAGGCGAAAGGAGGAAGGACAGGACAGGCAGCGCCCATCAGCAGCATCACGAAGATCCACGTGGAGGGCCCCTCGGGCTACGACGCAATGGGGTCGATCGGCAGTCGATGGCGTATCTCAGTGGGAACGCCTGGCAACACGCTCCACGGATCGCGCCGCGGGCTGCGGTGGGGCCCGCCCTCCCACGACTCTTTCTCCTGCAGGGACCTGGAGGCACGCCTTCCCAGACGCGTCGTGCCTGGGCCTCCTTCCACCGTGGGCGTGCAGATCGGGAGTGCCGCTCCCGAATCGCCACGCCCTGTTCTGTCTTCCGGTCGTGGACCCATGTAGAGGCGCAGCGGGGGTTTCTAGCCCCCGCGCCCGGACACCCCGCGCCCGGACACGCGGTGTCCGAATTCCATGCGGCCTTTTCCCATCACACTTTCTCTCTCTCTCTCTCTCTCTCTCTATATATATATATATTTCTCTCTCTCTCTCTCTTTCTCGCGCTCTCTCTCTCTCTCTCTCTCTCCCCCCCTCTGTCCCTCTCTCTCTTTCACTCTCTTCCTCTCTTTCTCTCTCCCTCCCTCCCTCCCTCTCTCCTTCGCATCGCGACAGGCAGGCTGCAGGCTGCTCGCGGGGGCCTCCCCGGCCAGCGGCCGCCAGCCGGTTGGAGAACGAAGTCCGATGTTGCCTTTGTGTGTTCGTGGTTTGTTGTTGCCCCTCCCTCTCTCGATTTGCTTGTGTGGTGGTGTGTGTGTGTGTGTTTTTGTTGTTGGTTGCTCCTATGTGCTCCCTTCCCCTCGATGTCCTGCTGCTTTCCCTCTCTCTTCCTCCTCTCGTCCACTCTACACGCTCCCTCTCTCTCTCTCTTTCAAGAGTCTCTTCAGATCAGACACATACACACACACACATATATATATATATATATATATATACATTTCTCCTTACACGTATATAGATATATTCCTTCTACCTATCAAATTACAAGGAAAAACCCGGCATGTCACCGACACCCCCCCCCACATGGACCCCAGATGAACCCCACAGGCTCCCAAGAGAGCCCCACAATGCTTCGAGACGGCCCAAAATACCCCGAAGAGAGCGACACGAGGCCTACATCGGGAGCCCAAGACAGCAGAAGGCACTTCCGAGACGCCCTCTGCAAGGCCCAAGAGGCCCCAAGACGGCCCCATAGTGCTCCAACAGGACCAAACATGGGCTCAAGACTGTCCAGGATGCCCCCGCAAAGACCTCCAACACGGCCTCAGCAGGCCAAAAACCTTAATTTTCCATGTATTTTTGAACGATTCTGTGCTTCTCGCCTTTTCTGGCCACGAACGGCCCAATAATGATCTGCGAGCTTCCGAGGTCGCCCCGAAATGGCTTCCAGGCGGCCCAATGGGGCCCCAAGATGGGTCAATAAAGCGCAAAGAAAGCCAGGGAGCGCCCAAGAGACCCCTAAAAGACCCCCAAGAGGGCTCCAACAGAGTCACGGGATGCTTCAGAGAGGGCCCGAGAGAGCCCCAACACGGCCCCAGGACGGCCCAAGCCCCCCCAGACAGCCCACGAGGGCCCCAGGACAGCCCAAGAAGGCCCTCCGATGGTATACAAAAGCACCAACAGGAGCTCCACTCAGTCTTAGAGCCGTCAAATTCTTTACACTCTGATTGACCTGAGCGGCCCCC